ATAACATGATGTCAGAAAATCAGCCCAAAAGCTTATCTTATTTCTGTTGGTTACGCACCGCTGATCCGCAATGTTTGTCATCACTTCAAGATGTCTACCGATTCGTGAAAAAGGCGTATTAGGCCAACTACAACGCTCTAAACCAAGGCCATGCTATATCTTAGTATTTAGCCCAACAATTTTGGTGAAATGTTTTAAACGTAATTTTGAAGTATGCCTATGTGGAAAGATGATATTCAAGAATGGCCGAGACTGAATTTCAAAGGCAAGAATTTGACTTGAAAAAGTGGACCTCCCTATATGTCAACATGCATCTTCTTGATTTTGTATTTATTATCACACTACAGTATTTTGTGCATCTGTATAATAATTGCATTAGGCCAATGTTAATGATAAACATTTTTTTTTTCCAGTTATTTCAACTATTTTAATAATACGCCAGCTTGTGATGAACAACCAAATGCAAACTATCAAAGCACAGTGGAAGACCAAAATTACCCGAGTTCTGGAGGGATTTGCATGATTGAGTATAAGTTTGATGGAAGTACAATCTAAAAGGCAGTGTACACTGCTCACAGGCTATTAGCAACTATGACAATGTTAAAATAACTGTTAAACACACAACAATTACTGGATAAAATTTGATTGTATTGCCTCTGAAATCCACTCTTAAGGTGTAGCCATTTTTCAAGACTATCCTTTAATAGAACTGCATGTGTATATCAGTACGCACACTGATACTCATCACAGCTCTTCGCTATTCAATAAAGATGGACAAATTAATTGTTTTTGATGAAGTTTAAGTAGGCCTTTCCTACTGTACATGGTAGATATTTTAACAGAATTAGTTTAAATGTATTGTAAACATTATTATTATTATTATTTCAGCATTGTTAAAATATTGATGCATATCACATGAATAAAAAGACAAACTGATCAATTTGCAAGTCTTGGTTCCCCTTTAATTGTTTGCATTGATTTATATAAGGACAGATGATGTTATTCATCAATAATGATGATGACATTGTTGTGTAATGTTAGACAGTGTTCCAATTTGGTTATCATTTGTGTATGATATTAACATGCTTTTAAAATTAATACTGTATTAAATTAAGTGAATTAGTTGAGCGTGATCTGCTGTAACATCACTTAGCAGAGAAACATTTAAGTCTAAAAGTTTAACCAATATTAAGCTACTATCAGTATTTACCATTTACTGTAAATGATGTTTTACAGAATATCACCAGTACAACAATTATTACAAATTAGTCAACCAAATGGATATCGACAGCAATGAAAAGACACTTTATTAACATTGTTTTACTATAGGAACATCATTTATATTGCTTTATACACCTGGATAGAGAGAGAGAGATACAAGCCAAGACCTAGTGTCTTGTACAAGGACACATGCTGTGTACATTGCCTGGGTTCTTGGAGAAGACACTTCGCTTGTTTAAATTCCCTAAATAATGTACAGTACTTCTTTTTCATAAGCTGATGTAATATTTTCATTCATATCATGGGCTGTAATTTCAGGACTGGCATCAGTCTGTGTAGATTTGCAGCAAAGCTTATAAACACAATCCTAAGTATGATTAGTGACAATAGGATCATAACACAGGCATCTTTTTGGTTTACAGTTCAATATTCTGTTCCAAACATAAACATAGTTGATATCAGTAGAAGTTTCTGGGTGATCTTTCATTTAACCAACTGCATTTACAACTCTCCTTTTAGGGACCAGGTCTGCCAGGGTATAATGGTTTCTGTAAATAATAAATAGACAATAATTCTTGATAGCCACATTATACTAATGTCCTTGTAAATTATTAGCACTCTACAGTATTTTTTGAAGAACATCCCATTAGAGTAACTGAACCACAATAATCTGGTAGTGTATTGTGTCTGCTTTCAGTAGGTCATGCATACTGTACAACATTTGGATACATATATTATAATTAAAAAAACTATCTACAGTAACTAGGAAACAAAGAGCAACTTTTAAACAGAAAATTATTTTTTTTAAATCTGTGAGATTGAGTTAAAATGTTTGGTTATTAGAATTAACATATTCACAGCACATAGTGAAACAAGCAAAATAAGCTTTTGATATTTAACTTACATTATCATATCCCATGCTGATGAGGTCACCATTGATGACTGGGCTCTGTCAATGAAATAAAGTAGAACAAAGCTGTAAAACAAACCATAATTTAACATTTAGAATTATTACTTAATAAAATAATACAGTAATTATAATCATCATCTCTCCTCATTCATACAAAAACTATTTATTCCATCAAATGGTTCAGAAAAATTGTTAAATTTTAAATTACAGTTTGAGAATACAAAAGGGGATAATAGAGGGCCACCACTGGTATACACCAACCTCTTGCACCACTTTTTTAGGGTGGTGTACAGTGAGAAATTCAATCAATCAAGTGCCTAGGGCTAGTAGGTAGGTCCTCTCTGGCGTCATGCTATTCTCTCTAGGCCCGTGTAAATTTGTTATCCGCTACGCTGTCGTTGGCCCTCTTTCTTGTTAATGTTACAGTAGTGTTATCCGATTAGCTAGCCTAGGCTAGATACCTAGCTACTTTAGACGGCCTATGCCTCGTAGTAGTCTGGGACCCGGTGTACCCTACAGGCTAGCTAGGCCTAACGTAACATATACAGTATACGATCTATCGAGGCCCCTAATTCCTATCGTTATTAATATTCTGTCTTAAATACACGAAATATACTTATCTTGGATTGTGATAAAATATAGGTTGAAGACTGGCGACATTATGCAGCTGCTACTGTCGAAAAAAACCCTGTTGTTATCAGCAATTACTGCATTGGAAACTAAACTCCGCATTGCATCTCTGAACTTCGCGGTAACTACAACTTCGCAAATGCCACCCCCAGTAATGGCGCCGACAATAGAGGGCGACACTCAAAAAGGCTCTCTTGGATAGGTCTATAGGCCCCTAAATTTTTAATTACCTTTGTTATGCTTTTCTCACACACCAGTCCAAACTTCTGCATAAGAGATACAAAGAAGTCGAATGTTGTATCTGAAAACTTGAACTTCTTCCACAAATGTCTTAACAGATGCTCCTCAAGGACCCCTGCGTCCAATTTCCTCCAGGCCTCTAAGTGTTTTTGTTTCTGAAATTAATAATTTTAACTTAGGCTTACAGGGTTATGTTTTCATTACAAATGTTATTATTATTATTATTATTATTTTTTTTTAAAATTATTATTATTATAATAATTATTATTATTATTAACTTACATCCAACTATGTTTTACACAAACTAAACCTCAATATGATGTTTAGGGTAAAAAAATCCTGCAGCACTGACAGAATTTGAACCCAAAACCCTGGGACTGGAAGGCAAGCATCTTAACCACAATTATTTGAAGCTAGTAATCCCGCTACTTTCTTAGACTTCTTATGTTTTCAACCTTTTTTGAAATGTATCAGATTTTCCGATTCCAAAATGGTGGCAGCAGAGGGGTGAGCTTCACCAACATGACAATAATAGGGTTCCAATCTGTTCTCATTTGCAAGATGCTTGCCAATCCTTAGAAGGTCGATATACCCATACTTCCATGGCAGACAACCCCAAGTTGAGAACATAGTTCTAAGATATTGTGTGATGTTGTAAATTTAACTCACCCTAAGTTCAGGGTCAATAACAGTGATTATTGTTTTAAACATGTCCACTAATTGCATCACATCCAAAACAATAATATCCTTTAAGGCTTCGTCATCAGGAAAGTAGAGAATCTCGCCAAGGTCGTGTAGATACTCAAGCAGTACCCTTTGAGCATCTTGTTTGACTCCAAACCGCTTAACTAAAGCGATCACCTGATAAAGAAAAAAAAAACCCCAAGTTTAATGGTTTTAAACAAGTGCAGAAAGAGATACTGAAACATAAACAGACAAACGATATAAATTCGCAAATAAGTGACAAGTTTATTAAATTCTTTTTTTAACTGGAAGATAATGCTTAACAAGTGATTAAGTTCACTTTTGGGCGGTGTTCCTGTCTGTTCTTTTGTGCTTGTTTCTTGCTGTTTCTGTTTTTGTAAAAATTAATATTTTAATGAAATGAAAAAGAATAATCACAAGTTAATAATTATTAGACTTACATAGCGCTGAATGACAACAAGGCCTCTAAGCGCTTCACATTATTACCCCCTCTCACCCTGATATTGTATCAAGCACTTATGATACACATGGCTGGAAAGAATTCCATAATGTTGCAGCTGTAATCAGCGCATTTTGTGTTGAACCTACGAGGTACCCACTTGTACTCCTGGGCGGACAGAGACAAAAATAGGTAAAGTTCCTTGCCTAGACACAAGCGAAATGCACAGCGAGGGATTTGAACCGCCGACCTCAATGAGAAGCAGAACGGCAACCGCTGCGCCAACCCACTCCTACAAGTTGCAACTTTCTGTAAATAATCAAATGTCTACCTTTTTGGTTGGTAGATAGATATGCTTCACTTTCAACTTTTGGATTTCCTGTTGAACAAGCAACCATTTCAAAGGAAGTTTTCTAACCATCTTCTTTGCGAACTTTAATATTTGGTCCATGATGTTAGAAGCATTGCTCCTGGCGAACGGTAAGCTGTTCTCAATAGCAAAGAAAGTAGGGAACACCAATGCTTCATAAGGTTTTCCTTCCAATGCTTCCCGAATTTTACTGAATATTTCTTCTGCCTACATTAATGAAATATAAAATTAGCAGCAGTAAATCATAAATTATAATAACAAGAAAAATAATATCAATACTTGATCTCTGTCATTTTTACATTTCTGTAAGTTTTTCTATATTTTCATTGATTAGTTTAAGTGTATTTTTATCAACCAATCCATCATAATCAATCTATAGGTCAAATAGTCAATCGAACAATATATAAATCAATATATTGATTGATCAATTGATGGTGATTGTTTGATATATTGATTACATAATTGATTGATTGATTTATTTATTGATGATGACATTGACAATGGCGATGACAAATGAAAATGTCGATGATGATGACTTTCATATGTGATTTATGTTGTTTGAATTATTTATTGACGAATGAAAATGACGACGGCAATACCGATGTTGATGATAATAATGATGATATCAGTAATGATGTCACGGAGATCCCTTTATTTAGTCCCTAGTCCATTTCCATACTTCTTGCACTAAAGGTGGGACTGAGGACTGATAAGCAATAAAATAAATACACCATGTTTTAAAGGGGATGTAGGTCAGTTGTAAAAAGGAGGATAACTTGCTGGTTGAACGAACAAAGTGCAATCTGGGAAAAACTAGAAATAATAATTTTGTTTTGTTCAGGTATTACTCTTCTACTGCAGGACCACCGTCATGCTGTTGCTAAAACTGTACAAATGGAGACAAAATCAATGTCAATGTAAACACCATCCAAATAGTTCGCTATGATTACAATGGTTGACTTGGTCTTGTGTCAGTCGTGATCAAAGCAATTTAAAATACACTTGACACAAGTCCCTTAATATTTGTTTCTCATTCTGGACAGTGCCAACAACAAGTAAGTTAATTTAGGTAACAAGACGGAATAATCAGGTAAAAAAACCGAGTATGACACACCAATTAAAATTTGTATGGCGCGCAATAAATACATTTAGGGCCTTGAACCAGTGCTGCACTTAATGATATAGTTCACTAAGTGTAGCCTGGGTTCAAGGCCCTCAATGTCATGCCACAGAAATTGATCCATGGTTATACTCAAGGCATATATTTATGCAGCAGAACTTGAACTTCACATATTTAGTCAACAGGTGAATGCTTCTGCATGTCAGAGTTATGGAAAAATAGAATAAATAAATAAATGAATAAATGATTAAATGAATGAATGAATGAACGAATGAATTTTTAATACATCATAACATTTTAAATATTTTTTTTAGCATTTCTGTATTTTATCTTTAATTTAAATGGCAATGCTCTTGGTGTTTTATATCCAAATTTTATAATGTACTTGTTCGACTTAACCATCTATTCTAACCCACTTTTAGTCAGATCTGTAAAATGTCTATATTGTATACGTTCTTAATATATTTTAATATTTATATCGTAATCTTTGACAAAATAGACAAATTTCACGCCATTATTATGTGTTACACTGTTAGACTAATCAAATTCAATTGAATAACTTATGTTTTTTTTCTGAAGTTTGTTTATAAGTGTAAATTACTGTCAGATTGTTTGCTTTGTTCATGACATAGTTGTTTACCTTTCTTTTCTTTTCCTCTTCATTCCCCTCGAGGCTGCCTAGATGCGTACCAATCACTAGTACTGGCGGTGAAAGTTGTCCATCATCCAATTTTGAATCTCTACTGTTTGTGTATACTGAACGAATCCAGTAAAGAATGAACTGAAGATTTGTCATTCGATGTTGATACATTTCACCCTGAAATAAAAAATAAAAAAATAAAATACTGTACAAATTATTATATTTTAAGTGAAAACTTGCTAAGAGATAATAAATGTTTAAAAACGTAATGCTTACAGTAGTCGGATCCTTGACTTTAGCTGGAGCGTCAAGGTCATCTTCTAGGTTAAATACCACACAAACAACGGCAAAACATACCATGAAAATCTACAAGATAATCTTCCACAATTAATTAAAACTGAATGAAATACATAGAATATATTTTAAGTTTGATTTAAATTCTACTTCATTTATTAATTAATAAAATGACTTTACTCGTTGTATCACATGATATATCGGTTGGCCTCCAAAGTCCCAGATGTTCATAATAAATTCATTGCCAGATGGTTTCGTCTCTGCTTTAGTTGGTGATAACACGTTCTTGAAATAAATGTAAACAAAAATTACTGTATACTTCTGCTATATTTTATTAATTAGTTATTACACCATGAAACATTCATCATATGATCTTAACCATTAAATATCACCAAATTGAATGCGTGTAAATCTTACTTGTCTTGTTACTTCTACATTCTTCTCTGTTTCTTTTTCTAATATTTTCTTCGCTATGGAATCTGCCATTATCGCATCAAATATATCACTGACACCAGCTGTTGAGGACAAATAAATCATTTATTAGAATAATATATAATTTACTATATGATTTGATTTCATTTTGTTAGTTCAGTAATTGAATTTAGACTGATGTCTTGGTGTATTGTGATCTGCATATTTATTGACAAATTTACAAAATTAAAACTGTGAAAGAATTGACTTATAAGAGAAGTAAAAAAAAAAAGAAGATGTTTAACGAAAGTGGTTTGGCACAGTGGAAATGATTTGGAATCCAATTTTTCAATCCTCAGTCCATATGAGCCACATGGCTCGATAAGGATTTACTATACAAAAATGTTTACACCTTACTTACAATGATCTGGTGATGTTTCCTTCCAATTCAATTCATTGTGCGATTCATGTGTACACACCGTTGTGTTGGCAATTGCGTCGGTAATACCCTCATTTGGATCAAAACTGAAGCAAAATAAAATTGTTATATTTTTATTACGTACAGAACCAGGGGGAAGATTTGGGGGGGGGGGTTTCGGCCCGGCCCGAAAACCCCCCCACACTTTTTTGGAAAGTCAAAGAAAAAAAAGAAGAAAAGAAAGAAGAAGAAAAAAATTGATTGACCAAAAGGTCTCAGAGGTTATTTTCGGGCATCTAGAGGACAGAAATTTTGCGTGGGGATGCCCCCAGATCCCCTAAAATATTGTTATCTCAATTGGCCCAACTTTCGGTTTTCTTCCAGCCCCCCACACCCCCACCTTTTGGACATCTCTGGATCCGCCCCTGAGAACGTACATATATAAATAAATGTGTAGAAACGTACTTAAAATAATGGATTGAGATTATTGAAGTTTTCATACATTCATTAAGTTGTTGATTATGGAAAGAAATACAAAAAAATTATTTGAATTACCGGTTTCTTAAAAAAGCATTATTGAAGGCTTTAGCTATTTCGACTGATTAACTAATGTAGTGAAAGGATTGATATTATTGAAATGGAAGATTGATATTATTGAAGGGAGTGAAGTTGAATACCTCAGTGGTTAAGATACTTGCCTTCTGATCCCAGGGTCCTGGGTTCAATTCCTGTCACAGCAGGACTTTTTCTCACGACTAAAACAACTCCACTCCCTAAGCCTCATAAAGAGACTTAGTTTATAAAGAATCATTCTCATTCTGTAAGTGGCATGTGTACTTGCTGTTAGATGTGAAGGATATAAAAAAAAAAAGCAAGTAAATTTTGAATATATGAGCTTACGTATTCCTTAAAAATGACTTGATTGTAGATGTCTTGCCGACTCTCTCGAGGCCCATGAAAACTGTCCTTCCTTGATTAACCTCTGTTTCTCCCTCAGCTAGAGCATCATTAAAAGCTTCCACTGCTTCGGTCCCACGCGCCAAGATTTCCGTTGGAACCATCCCCGCTTTAAAGCATAAATATATTTCTGAACTACACATTGAATTCCTTCATGAAACTTGTTAAATATAATTACTGAGGCCAGCCGCCTGCAATGCTGTCATTTACTGAGGAGGTCTTTAACCTATCCTTTCATACAAATTTTTCATTGCTTCAATTGTGATTTTGCATTTCTTTTCTCATAGAATCATTCGTAGCAATGGTGCAACATTTACTTCATCAAACCCAGTCTTGTGATTATGTAACCATAATAAAAGCAAATTTGCAAACAAAAGTATAGAATTAGAACTTATTTATTCCAAAAGAGGGGCAATAAATTACTATGGTGATAACAGACGGAGAAAATATAGGCCTACAGTAGTCGTTTTATTTTCATCATTGAATAAATGTTTTACAGTATTATATTCAGTGATAGCGCTATCATTTTGTCTGAATCGAGCATAAAACAAATGCTGTAAAATATTACAAAGCGCCACCAATAGCTGCCTGGATTGCTAATCAAAATACTGTAATTTAATACAGCTAACATTGGGAATCTTATTTACTGTGTTTAAATGTAAGTACAGTACATAATATACACTGTACAATACACATAAATACAATTGCAAAAATAGATATGCATATATAAACAAATGAATGGACATTTAAATGGTGTTTGAAGAATTTCATACTAAATATACAAAATGCGAATATACTAATATTAATTTTAAAATGATTGATATTTGATATGAAACAAAACAAATAAATTAAATATGAACTTATGTTCGTATGAACCGCTCACTTTGTAGGAGATGCATGAGCATTTCTTTTTGTTTTTCTTTGTTGGTAGAATTATACTTTTCACATTTGTTGTTCACATACACTTCAGCTGGAGTTTGACCATCCTGCAAAGACAATCACATATCATATCATACCTCATGAATTAAATAAATAATCAAGCAAAACCATCACATTTTAAAGCACTTCAACAAACGTTACCCCAAAACAATTCAAAACAATTGAATTGAAATTTACATATCAATTTAATTATTCTTTAATTCTACAATTGCATCTTGTAAATATTCATGTTAACAATAAAACATTGACAAAAATCAATAGTTGCTACAACGAGTTGTTAGGTAAGAATTGATGCTGTCTCTTATACACATCTAGATGTGTATAAGAGACAGGCCATACAATATCGACATTATAGTTGCCATCATTAATTTCAGTATGCTCCTTATCACCATTATTTAATTATAAACATCTTCATCATCACCATAATCATAATAATCATCATCATCTTCATTGTCATCATTTTTATCTACCTTCTGGTTTTTTAATTTGGCATTCGCTCCAGCCTTTATTAAGTAATTAGTTGTGTCTATGTGATCTCCATACGAATGGTTAAATTGTAACAACTTGTGAAGTGGAGTATTGCCGTCCTGTAACACAATTGAAAACAGTGTTAACCAACGACAGCTCATAACCGTACAAAGGATAGCATAATGTGAATAAACAACATATTCATTGTTACCAATCCAGACACAGTCAAAACCTCTGTAAACAAATGAAATAATGCAATCAATAACATTATAGTTAAAATTTAGGTAAATAACTAACTTTCACTTTGTATGAAATACATTTTCATCGAAAATTTTCTTCCATAACAATATTTTAAAACTACTATTTTGATGCAATCAATAACATTACAGTTAAAATTTAGGTAAATATAA